AATTCGATGCGGCCTCAACTTCCAGCAATTCGCCGGCACTTGCAAGACTACTACGAGCTTCATCAATCTCCGACTCGATCGCTCCTTGCAGCCGAGCAGCTGGTGATGCGCCATTTCCCAGTCCGAAGCCACCATATCGAATGCCCCCACATCCGCCTTGAAGACTCGCTCCAGGAAGGCGGGCTGCAGAAGCGCCGCCCGCACCTCGCCCAGCGTCATGCCAAGGTCCGCCTGGAACAAGGGCTCCGTCTGCAGGAAGTCCTGGAGCTGCACGTCCGGCACCTGAATCTTCGACGGCAACGACCACGTCCGTTTTGGGGGGGGGGGGAAATCGACCCCAAAAAAGCGATCTGGGTTCTCTCTTAGTCATGGGAACCCCTTCTAAAGTGATCTGAAAGGAAAAGATACACAAAGGAAACTCGGAAAACTGGGGTTTAGGGTTTAGGTCCCCTCTCAATCATGAGAACCCTTTTCTTGGCTGAACCTCATAGATAGATTGTCTGCCGGGTCATTCCCTGGATGAACGAAGTTAAATGGGACACCGTCATCAAAATCACAGCTTTTGTATCCTAGGCTATTCGAACTCCGCGATCCAGGTTTGGTTTCTTGACCGACACCCGGCCTGGAGTGCATCTGTCAGGGACTTGCCTTGAAGTAGTTGCCGTTGCTTCACCGAGGTCTTGGGATTTAAGTCCCTCGAGTCCTCAGCACAAAGCGAGCCTTGCGGTGCTCGCAACTCTCCTCCCCCTTAACTCGGTCCTGCTCTCGCGTATTGCGCACTGTCCCCATGCCACCTGCACGCATGCAAAAGTTTGTCCACTCGTGGATTCACTGAGCCTCTCGACCGCAGCAATGCTTCGAGCTCATTGATCCTCCAGCAAGCGGCAAGCGGCAAGCGCACCCCACTTGAGAAAACAGCTCTGGTCCTTCTGCGAAGAGTTTCTTCCCTCTGCTCCACAGTCCTGCACGCTGGTTGCCATGATCGTACAAGCTCCAAATATTCACTTTCTGGTGCTAAACTCCAAGCTGAGAATTTTGACCGTTGCCGGGACTCATTGGCTGGCCACCCACCCACCCACCCACCCCACCCCCACCCCACCCCACCCACCCCACCCCACCCCACCCCACCCCACCCCACCCCCCCATACCTACCAACTGCACCCACCAGGCTCACGCCACCCACAACCCGCCAGCCCGTGTGACCGTACCGCGATCCCCCTAACAAATGGGCCCATCCTGGAATCTCAAGCCAACGCGGTGTCGCGAGTGATCCGGTGATCCTTCAACAGTGCATGGAGAGTGGGTGGGATCATCTGCGACTCCAGAGAACGGCGGCAGGCTTGCTTTTTGGCGTGGGAGGGTCGCTGGAGCTGCTGCTCAGCGGCTAAGGGGTGACTGGGCTGGGGCTGGGGAAGAGGGAAAGGGGGGCTTGGTGCGGGCATCAACACGTGATGTGCGAGGAACACAAAAATATGCTTCGTGGTGCATTACAGGTTGGGTATGTGGTGGGCTGATGCGGCAAAGCTGGCTCGTGTTGCGCAAACATCGTCGCCGTCGTCTGTCTCCCCCTCCTCCTCCTCCTCCTCATCCTCGTCCTCATCCTCGTACTCGTCCTCATCCTCATCCTCATCCTCATCACCACCACCATCCTCACCACCACCACCACCAGCAGCAGCAGCAGCGTCGTCGTCGTCGTCATCATCATCATCATCATCATCCTCATCCTCGTCCTCATCCTCGTATTCGTCCTCATCCTCGCCACCACCACCACCACCACCACCACCACCATCATCATCATCATCATCATCATCATCATCATCATCATCATCATCATCATCATCGTGATCAACTGAGAACACGCTTGGCTGCGGATACGAAACCCCCAACTCTTGTGAAAGGCGTGGCTGCAAGGCCGTTGCTATCCTCATCTTTCGCGCGATACAAGGTCCAGCACTTTCAGCACAATCGTGGCCTGCAAGCGCATGCACAGTGCCAAGACCAAAACCAGTTCTTGACATCTAGATTCCGCACCAGATGTATTGGGTGCGGATTTATTTTGGGATGTTGTTTGTTTAGTTTCGTTTCTTTTTGGGGATGTTTTCTTTTGGTTTTTCAGAGGGCAGAAAAACACTGCATCTTATCACGACATGTAAGTATTTTACGCTAGGCCGTCAACATCCCCAGCATCGTTTTCAACATCCCCCGTATGTCCCGCCAACATCCCCTGCATCACCAGCAGATCGTAAGTAGCGGTGGCTCTCTGTTGCCTTGGCTTCCTACATCCTTAGGAAAATTTGTTAATTGGTTTCTAGCAACGTAGGTTGGTAAAAAGGAGCTGGGGCCCCAGGGGCTTGGGGGGGGGAAGGGGGTTTGGGGGGGGGTGGGGTGGGGGGGGCCAGCCTCCCAGGCCCCCGTCCTTATGTTTGAAGAAGTACATACAAACAGACATACATTCATATTACATATATTACATACATACATGCGCACGAGAAGCCAAAAGCGGAAAAGAAAAAAATAAAGGGGAAAAATAACCTCCTCAAAAAAATACCCCTCTAATCGTAGTTCAGCGCTGGATCTCTAGGTTGCGCAGAATTGACCGAAGCCGTGCTCGAACCGGAGACTCTGAGGCTGCGGCACGAAAGCATGTCGCAGAAGGCACATTTCTGTCCTGATACATTGCGCGTGTTTCATGTTGTCTGCTAGACCGAAACTCTGGACGCATGTTGCTGGGTGTTTTGTGTTGTTTGATGATTTGATATGTATGTTCTCTTTGCTTCTCGGACTTGACATGTTGCATTGTTGAATGATCATTCCAAACATTTAGGGATGCCCAGGTAAAGGACCTTCGTCACGGGTCGTCCGCCCCTCTGGCCCTGGATCTCCTTGATGCCAGAAGCCCACCAGAAATGCGTCGCAGAGGCTGCACCACCCGGGCCGTGCCAAGGTTTCCACCTGCATTCAATCCGTTGAAAGCGTTTCGTGCCAAGGTTTCCAACTCCACCTGCATTCACGTGGAAGCCTGGAATTTCAGTGAGTTGCGAATTCCAACGTTCAAAAGCTTGTGGGGGCCATCGATCGTGTGGAGTTGCACTCAAGCCCGGCTGTGACATGTTTGACTGCAGACGCGTTGCAAGAAACGACTCGAAGGAAGCAGTGGTGCTCCAGCAACAAAAGAATCTAATCCTGCATGAGAGACACTGCTGAACTGTGCCTGAAATTGGTGATCCTCAGATTCAGCCTCCGCCGACTCACCTTCCTGCCGCAGGCAATGCTGAGCCATTGTGCTCTTATCGTCAAAAAGGATACGAGGCAAGAATGACCTCCTGGTGTGTGTGTAGATACGCGCATCTACATGCATTGAATTGCAATTCCAGTCAGCATTTCTTATGCAGCCTGGCTGAAGGGTTGATAGTCATCCCGCGTCACTCGTAACACAACAAATGTGTTCCGGGTAGCTCTTTTCTGCTATGGATTGTCAGGGTTCCGATGCTCAGGTTGATGTCCATCACCCGATCGAAAAGTAATCAACAGTTTCAGCTCCCTTTCGAACAGGACAAAAATAGTCCGGCATGGCTCCGCTTTCGACCCAAAATGTTTTGGGGATGCTCTGATTCACAATGGGCTTGCCGCAGGATTGACAGCTTCGGATGCAGATCGCATCGACGCCTCTGGAAAGGCTGCAGTGATGGATCCGGAGATACCCGGCGGATCCAGGCTTCCCCACCTTAGGACATGTCTTCTCCCCATTGCTTCGACGTGCCTGCCCACCAAAACGGGGCACAAAAGAAACGGCCTTGGCCTACAAGCTATCGATGTGAATCAACTTCAGATCCGTGGCCGGTGCCTGGTAAGCCACTTGTCCTCTGCTGTCTCACCTCTCAAGGGGCAAGCAGAGTCCTGGCGAGCTCAACCAGTGTCAAGTTGAGTTGCGCACCGGGCAGGTCCTGTGTTGCCTCATCAAAGTCATCAGAATCATCTGACTGACAAGGTGTGGAGCCCTGGCAACACCTGCACCTCAGAAAACAAACCAAGATTCTCGGAGGAACACACAAACAAACACGCATAGAGAGAGAGAGAGAGAGATAGAGAGAGCGAGAGAGAGATTTCAGGCCCTTGCCATTGGCGGCATGCATCTTGGCATCGCTTAGGCATACAATGCTCTATATCTTTAAGCCCGATTATGCCACCGTCAATGCACGGGGCACACGCAGCCTTTGCTAGCAAATGCCGTCTGAACTGTTGCTCCTTTTGTCTCGTTCAGAAATGGCACTGGGAAGATTCCATTTGTCAATGCCGTTACAATAGATATGCAGCTGCAACGTCGAATGTGCAAATACTGCCAGTTGCATCCAACTCACAGGTCGCGCTGGTTAGGAGTCAAATGCTTTGGTTCACTGTTTGCATGGGATCAAGTGTAGCTTTAGCAGAGCTTGATTTCGTAAGCCTTTGGCTAGTTTGAGCCAAGGTAAGGTCAGGCGTTCGCGGCAGGCTAGACAATCTTGAAAACAATATGAGTTTTAGGGAGAAAACCTCCACAAATGCTGCGCAGGAAAATCGAGGACCTAGTTCCGCTTGTTGTGTTCCAAGCCGTCCTCACCTTTTTTGTTCGACTTCCCTTTGGCAGCTCGTTTATGCGCATACAGTTGAATCAAGAGCCACCTCAGCACATTTGCAACCGCATGTTGCACTGCATCTCCAACACTCTAATCTTGAAGGCAATCAAAGCTGGGGATTCGCAGTTCTCGCTGGACCGCGCTCATCTTTTCAATTGCCAGTTCCTCACCAAGGATGTCTCCACTTTGTGGAGATCAAATCATAGGCACCTTGAGACCTTTGGCAGTTTCCCAGATCAACCAGCAGATCATAGCCCTTTGCTAGCCAGTTTCAGCCGGTTCGCTCAAGAGCCTATGGCCGGCGCGTAGTTCCAATGCAGGACAGGAGTATTGCTTCTCTCACTTAGAGAGAAGAGCCAGTGAAAACCCAAAGCCTGAATTAGGCCATCACAGTGCTTGCTTGCAAGCCTGGCAATTCGGCAATTCCGTGACAAACAGGACGGATCTGTAAGTCTGCAAGTACCAGCTCCAAGCCTCTTCTTTCCTCTCCGCTGCCGGAATGAGATCAGCATGCGAACCCGCCATGAAGTCGATCACCATGCCAACTGGGGCATCAGGGAACCGGCCTTGCCAATCCTGGCACAGGGAACCACCGGAATCGTCGGTTGTCAGTCGCCCTAGCCAATGCTGGCCAAAGCTGTGGCTGTCTGCTCTGTCCTCCGTGTGCTCAATCCGCACAGCTGCTGCAATGCAGTCTCCCCAAAGCCTGCGATGTGCCGAGGGAATTGCTCTCATGTCACTGAATCCCTTGCAGAAAACTAAGATGCGTGCCCAGTCAGCAAACCTGCGAATGGTCGCGCAGCAACATTGCAGTGCATCAAAACGTCTGAATTCGCACAGACCGGCAATCCTACCAGCCTGCGCCATCAACTTCCGGCTGAACACCAGAAAGCACCTCTTTCCAGGACCCGTTGGTAAAGGCCTCGTGCATGTCCGGTCTGGCCGGAGGTGCTGGAGGACCGTTGGGACCATCAAACTCCTCATAACCGTCATCAGATGCGCCGTGCACAACGGATTTGTAGCCATCGCTGAGGGGCTTGTCAGGGATCGAAATCATGTCAACGGTCTCAGGCAGAGGGTCCGCCTCGAAGTGATTCGGGTCGTTGATGCGCGTGGTCATCTCCCGCACAAAGTCGTTCCACGTGATCTCCCCGGTGCCGCTCACGTCCCACTCGTGGAATGTGGCCACCAGGTCGGGGCCATCGTCCCCAGGTGGGAAGCCGCAAGCATTGGTCAGATCCCAGAGGCCGGGGATGTCCAAGTTCGGAGCGCAACTCGAAAGCGAGCCATAATACAAGAACGCATTGCCCATCGCCTGAAGGAAGCAAAGGAAGCTCCATCCCAGTTGCATGGAATTCCGTGCAAACCTTCTCAAATGAGGTTGTAAAAAAACAAAAAAATATTGTTTTAGAAGGAACTTCCGTAGTGGGGCAACTAATAGCCCTCTGACAGGTGACAGAAGAAAGAATAAGCACGCGTGAAAACAAGTGTGGCGGGGGAATATAAATGTCAAAAATGTGCAACAGCCTTTTCGCAAGGTCAGTTAAAAACCAAAGAAACAACATGGCAGGCGCAGCCCTTTGGCAAAATCAGCTAAAAATTTCGTGGCAGGCGCAGCACTTTTGCACAGTCATGCGCAGATTTGGAGATTTGGTGGCAGGGGCAGCGCTTTCGCAAGGTCAGGTACAGATTTTGTGGCAGGCGCAGCGCTGAGATGGATAGATAGGTAGATAGGTAGATAGATAGATAGATAGATAGATAGAAAAATAGACAGAAAGGAAGAAAGCAATGAAAAAAGAGAAAGACAGACAGACAGACAGACAGACAGACAGACAGACAGACAGACAGACAGACAGACAGACAGACAGACAGACAGACAGACAGACAGACAGACAGACAGACAGACAGACAGACAGACAGACAGGAAGGAAGAAAGAAAGAAAGAAAGAAAGAAAGAAAGAAAGAAAGGAAGAAAGGAAGAAAGGAAGAAAGGAAGAAAGGAAGGAAAGAAAGAAGGAAGGAAGACACAGATAAGAGAACAGAGAGAAAGAAGAGAATAAGAGTACACATGAAAAAGAGAGAAAGAGAAAACGAAAAGAAAGAGAAAAAGCAGAGAAGAGCATGGGGGTTGTCTTGTTTCACGCTTTGTCGTTTCCAGTGCTTTGTGTTCGCTGTGCTTTCAACCTCGAAATCGTGACCTTTTACTACAAGTGTAGCAAACGAAGCACCAGAGCAAAAATCGCAACTCTTCAAGACAAACGTAGTTTGCTAAGTACATTTTGGCAGCTCCAGTTCCAAAATCTCCACAATCAGTTTCGGGCAGTACAAAGTACAGTTTGGCTGCTGGCACAACTTCTCAGCACCACCGTAGCGCACGTTGGCAGCTTCAGCTCACAAATCGCAGCTGTGCAGCTCAGGAAAATCAGGAAAAGTGTAAGGAATGGCGTGCAAAAGGCAACTTTTGTGCAAAACACCGTATGCGCTATTGTTTTGCTATCTTTTTGTTTGCCAGAGTGTGTTTCAACTTCTTATCGTTTTCCTGTAAAACTGGCAGTCACAAGGGCGTGAATACAACATCAAATGTGAATGCAACTTACGAGACCCTGCACACAAGAAAAAGCACGCGCACAATAAGCATGTAGAAGTCCTGCTGGTCTTCCTCCCCGGGCATGACATTCTCGCCCTTCTCCTTGCGCTTCCGGCAGAGCTTGTTGAAGGACTTTGTAAACTTCAGGATCTTAGTGCAAGAACAACTGCCTTCCTAAAGAACGTACTGTCCTTGATACCTGTTGCATGCAGAGTGCACCTGAGCTCAAGGCCGCATCCTCTTTTGTCATGGGAGGAGATATGCTGAGACCCACTTCTTGCCCAGCAAACCTCTCGCAGCGTCGATTTGCAAGCATCACGAGTGTGTCCTGAGGCAACGGTTGCAGTGACTCATCCTGTCACCAAATCTCGACAACCAGGAACAACCAAGGAAGGCAACTTTTGGAGATAACAGCCAGTGACAAGGCGACAAACTTGGTGTATCCTTGTAGTCGCCACTGCAGTCGCCAGCAATCCACTGGGCGAGCCCACGTCCGTCCATCTCGAAGAAATGATCACGAACCTCGTCCATTCGCTCCTTTGCGATGCACATCCAATTGATGAGCAAGTTGTCTGAGGTACCCAATCCCTTCATTGACGTCATCAGTGCTTCAGCCCACACCTTTGGAGGAGGCTTGACCAAGGCAAGAAGAGCCTTTTGATAGTTGCCGCTGGTGTCACCCTTGATATGCTGATAAAGGTCACCGCCTTTCTTGATCTCCGCATATTTGGAGACCAACTCACGGCGCTGTCGCTCAGACAAATGGACCAAAAGCGTGATGAGGCCAGTGTCATCCGTACCCCAGCCAACGATGCAATCTCGCACCGCAAACGCAAGTCGCTCGGTCGGTTCTCTGAGCAAACCCAGCATGCAGGCACGGAAGTTGGCAGACATGAACATGCTCATTCCCCAATCCCAGGTCTCGTTGTCAATTCGCTCATACAGGTTCTCACCATACTTCTCCTCAAATTTGGCTTTAAGAGTCTCGATCTGCTGCGGTGTCTTGCCGGCAACAATCTGAATGATGGCCTTCTCGTTTGTCCCCATTCCATCCATGGCTGCCTTCAAGTTCTCGCAGTCCAGATCGTAGTCCATGCGCGCTCTCGGATGCGTGCACTTGAGCACGGCCACCAGGATGTTCTTGAAATTGCCGCTTGTCTCCGACTCGACGTGCTGAATCAGATCCTTCCCAAACCTGAACAGCTAGCACCACAAGCAAGGATCCAATTGCTCACCTCAAATTGACCAAAATTGAGAAGCTGCGGCTTGAATTTCCTGCAGCTTGCCTCCAATAAACAGTTATATTATTGTCATTGCCAGCAACAACACTTGTCACTACGATTCATGCTGCAAACAACGAGGCACACCCTGCCAGCGTGTTCTTTCTAAGTCTTCCTTTGTTTTTCTTTCTCCCTCCTCTCACTCTCGCGCTCTCGCGCTCTCTCTCGCTCTTTCTCTCTCTCTCTCTCTCTCTCTCTCTCTCTCTTTTTCTATCTCTTTCTATCTCGCTCTCCCTCTCTCTCTCTCTCCCTGTGTCCCTTGTCTCAGTGTCCGCTAAGGATGCAACATCCTCTTGTAGGTCTCCTTGATGACTTGGCGCTCCTGCGGCTTCTTTCGGTGAGCCACAGCAGGGCAACCAAGTCATGGCAACTACTATCAAACTGGTGGTTTGCCTTTTTTCGGGGGCCCACAGAATGCGGATATTCCTTTTGGCTTTCCTTTGAACCCACAAAGAGGGGCTACCCTTGAGCAAGAGACACACCCAAATGCCAGCATTTCACTAGCTCCCAAGGCCACCGGCCCAAGAAACAGAATTACGCTTGACAGGTCACAGAAGCTTCACCCGAGTGAGTGGATGGGTTTGGGATGCTGGCAAAATGGGTTGGGGTGGGCTTTTGGTTTATGTGCGTCTCTTGCTGAAAGGTAGGTTGAGGCCTGGGCTTATGCGTAGATTTGAGGCTAGGACCTAGGATTGCTTGTGGCTAATTTAGAGCCCAGCCAAAAGCCACAGCCACAAAAGCCACACCATGAAAAATGTGGTGATGATGTGGTAGGATGATGATGATGATGATGAGGAGGAGGAGGAGGAGGGGAATGAGGAGGCAGAGGAGGAGGAGGCGGAGGAGGAGGCACGAGGACTTGCCTGGTCAGGCTTGAGACCCCTTTCATACGCCGGATCCATCACTATCCGCGTAATCCGCCGATCACCGAAGATCCCCCGGCTCCTTGAAGCTGGAACAAATAATGACGCGGATCAGCTGGTCTTCAGCCGTTCCCCACCCAGCCATAGCGCCGTGAAGAGCTGTTGCCCGGCTCTCGGCCCACTTCATGGCCTCCGCTTTTTGAGGGAACACGGGCAGTCGGTGGACACCAACAGCAAAGCCGAAGCCAGGTACGCAAGCAGCTCCCACAAAAAAGACACATGAACATGTCATGTAAAAGGCCGTTGCAGAAGCGTTTTGAGGCTTGGTAGTTCGTTACCTGTTTTGGTAGTGTTGAACGGGAACCAACAAGAAAACCGAAGCCATTTTTCGGGGGGGTCCCCCAAAAACAAACACGGCCTTGTGTGAAAGGCCATGGCGGCTTCCGCTCCCGCCTGAAACTTGAGGACCTTCTTGTAATTGAAGGATGTCTCTGACTCGATGTGATCCACCAGCTTCCTCCGACGTGTTCAGCAGAAAACCCTCGCCGCATGCAGCGCTTTCCCCGCGCCTCTTGTGCTCCTTCTCGTAGAGACCGTGAATCTCGTCGTACAAATTCTCCGGAAGCGTGCACACCTTGGCTCAAAAAGCTTCCACTCCAGCCACTCAGAGGAAAAAGCGCGGAGAAAACTGGCGCCAAGTGCAGCTTGGCTCCAAAGCCGTGAGGGTGTACTCGTCTGTGCCCCATCCGTGCATTGCATCCCAAAGCCCACGCACCTCAAATTGCATGTCTCTCCCAAGTTTGCCGAACCAAGAAATGACATCCAGATGGAAGCTCACTGCATTCAAGTCACGTACAGCTCGACCGGCATGTACAGCAGAGAGGTCATGGCATGCTTCCACCAGTTTGTGAACATGAAGAAGGTGCCGCCTTCTGCATTGCACTTCTTCTCTACCTCCGACACAGTCCAGGTACAACTCTCATCAAGCCGCCATGCTTCAAATCCCGGCCTCTTCTTTCAGGGAAGCTTTGTATACCGCTTCATACAATTCTGTGTGCCGCTTGATGGCAGTTGCTGGCATGGCAACTAGAACCTCCTGGATAGTCTTCACCTCGGTGCTAGCACTCCCCGAGCGCTGCTTTTTGATCCATGGGTATGCAGTTGGAAGCCAGTGTTTACAAAGAGGGATACCTGCCACAGGCAGGTAACGCATCAGCGCAAAAGCGCAAAAGCGCTCGCCCTTGTCAGCCCGTGGATGAGTTGCCCCGAATCGCATTCAAAGCACCCCTTCAAGCTAAAAGACCCTGCTAGGACATATTTGACAACAGACATATACTCAGGGCTGACGCACTCAAGGCCGAGTATGTTCAATCCTCCGCAACCGAACTGAAGTCTAGCATTCTGAGGCAGCTACATTGAAGAGAGCATCTTTGCAGCGCTGGGCCCAGTACACCGGAGCAATGTTGATGGTCTCCTGCGTGTGCCGGGCAATGCAAGGCCAACGCTGACACATGACACATGACACATGACACATGACATATGACACATGACTGTACCTGTGCGTGTGTGTGTGTGTGATCAGCTGGTCCTCACTATTGCGGCCAGCCAACATAAGCAATGTTTTCTTGTAGTCGCCACTTGTCTCAGATTCAATCCAATCTTCGAGCATCTTCTTGTTGAGCCCGTGGAAACATTTCCGCACTGCCATCATGTCCTCTTTGGCCAACACCATGAAGTTGATCAGCAGCTCATCCGCAGTTCCCAGCCCTTTCATGGCACCCGTGAGAGCCTCTGCCCACACTTGAGGGGCCTCCTTCACAAGGGCGCAAAGGGCTCGTTCGTAGTCCCCACTTGTGTCACTCTTGATGTCCTGGAAAACGTCTCGACCGAACTCGAGCTTGTACTCCTTGATCAAGGCCGCCTTCTTGAAATCTTCCAGATGTACCAAGCATGTGATAAGGCCTTCATCATCTGTGCCCCAGCCCTTCATGCAATCCCTGACGGAGTGGGCCAACTGCTTCATGGGATGGCGAATGCACCCGACCAACCTCGGTCCCGCGTGCACACACATCAGCAAACCCAGGCGAGCTCGGGCATGCCCACATGACATGTGCACATGGCCACGCAGTAGGTAGCAGTGGTTAGATATTGAACTCAACCTTGGAGTTTTTGCCAAGCAGCGTGTCCTTGTAGTATCCGCTCGTCTCGCTTTTGACCCATTCGAGCAGGTCCCTGAAAGATCAATGATTCAGTCGAACGTGGAACTCTTTTTTTTCTATCAAGTTCATGGCACAGGATGCGGTTCATGGGCCTTTCAAACATCTCCTTGAACCTTTTGTTGATATCCTCCATCTGCTTGGACCTGAAATCGCTGGTGTAAGGCTCAAAAGCCACATCTGGCAACACGTCTTTACTCTGAGCCCATCACGTCTTGCTGCAAATCATCTTTGTCAGGGCGGTTTCATCGGTGCCCCAGCCCTCCATTGCCTGAAATCCGACTCAAGAAATCACAATTTCAGGACAGGAATTCCCTACACAACACTCAGAAACGCAGCCCAGCTCAGCAAGGTGTGTTGTGTGTGTGTGTGTGTCTGTTGTGTGCGCGTGTGTGTGTGTGTGTTGTGTGCGTGTCAATGGTAGTAACTGCAAAGGGCTTAATCACCCCACCTCCTTCATGGCAGTGCAGTCGGCATCCAAGTCAAACGGTGTTTCCTCTGCCTCAGGAATCAAAGGGCAAATTTCTTGCAGGTACCGCAATCAACGCACGGAGGCCCGCCTCAAGCATACACAGCAAGGCCTTCTGGAAATCGCTGGAGGTCTCAGACTTGATGTGCTCAATCAGATCCCTGCCGAACATCCTCTGGTAAGCCTCCTTCACCTCCCTCCGCTCACCGAAGTTCAGCTGGCAAATGACGCGAATGAGCTGATCTTCGGAGGTTCCAAGGCCGACCATTGCTTTGTTCAGAATCTTGGCACGGCAGTCTTCTGGAGCCATAGCTTGCCATACCATAACCTTGCGTCAAACACGTCTACTGAGCCAACTGCAGAAGATCAGCCAGACTGAGCCCGAGACCTTCTTGTAGCTAAAGGAGGTCTCGCTTTCGATGTGCTCAAGCAAGCCCTTACCAACCGTCTCGTAGTACTTCTTGAAGATCGGAATACGAAGCCGCTCGGGGATGGTGCACACCAACGCTGTAAGCGTTCCTTCATCTGTCCCAAAGCCCCTCATTGCATCGTTCAGGCAGCGCACCCACAAGTCCACCTCTGGCTCTAGCAAGGCTTTCATACAGTTCTTCCAGTTTCCTGAGAAGAACCATCCGTCCGACCTTGGAGCAAACTTGACGCTGACGAAAGCTCCGTTTCCCTTTCCCCATACCCCTGAGTGCAAGCGCCGAAACAAACTGCGCAATTCGGATCCCAAGCCAGCCAATGAACGATGAAAAGCGAGCAACGCAACTGACCAACGTCAGGTCCCGCCATTGGAGCGAGCGTTTGACGCGGACCCAAGGCAGGAAAGTCAGCTGTTCGCTCGCCGTGAAAAGCTGGCGGCGTGAGAGGTTCCCTAGCATGTTCCCTGTATCTTCGACCCCGCGTCGAGTGATTCTGAGACAAAGTCATGGTATACAGGCACGGGGGATAACTACAAAACATCATCCAGTTGGCTTCAGCTGCGCTGTGGTCTGACCCTCAAGCAAAAGGGTCAAAAGAGAAAGAAGGTGTCAAATGCAGGTGCCAAATGATACACACTCAGCTGCCACTCTGCAAAGCTGAGATAGCTGCTCAGCTGCAGCCTTTGTGATGATCTGCTCGCTCACATCTCCTTAGATGCTTTCCAGCAAGTAGGACAGAGTTGGCAACCAAACAGGCCGGGGTGACCTGCTTTGAGCGTCTCGCCAAACTGCTGGCAGAGGCCCTGCACGCTCATGCCATCCACTGTTCCCAGAACCTCGAACGCATGAGCAATGCACTTTGAGCCAGTGAAACCCTCAAACCGCTAAGCCGTCAGCCTCAACCAGGCACTTCTCCTCGTACAAAGCATCGTTGCAGCGCTGCGCGACGTTGCCTTGCAACGTCGGAGCGCTGAAACGAAAACTCGCTCACAACTTGGTGGCTGTTGACCCCCCTGCAAAAAGTCTTTCACTTTTTGGGGGTTTAGTGGAAAACCCCTTGATTTCTCACAAAGTTGAAGTCTAAAGATCCAACCCAATAGCAGTCAAGACAACTCACAACTGTCAAGCGCTTGTGCTCCAAACCAACACATCGTTCAGCCGAGCTACCCAGGACTTCTGCATGGTTGAGCTGCTCTTCCGACATGCCCCCGTCATCAGCCCAGGCTGCGAAAGATGGGAAGGGGATGTTCCCTGTGTGGGCCTGGGCATGCAAAACAAACTCTAGCGCCAAACAGAGACTCTGAGAAGCCGCTCTCCGGAAGAGGCACAAATTGCGCATCAAGCCGCTGGATCAGCCTTCAGCATGATCTCATCGACCTCCTCTTTGCTCGGCTCCTCGCCCCTTACCAACGTCAGCATCATGTCGATCTCACTCTTGCTTACGGTGCCGTTCCCATCCAAGTCGAAAGCTTGGAATTGGAACCTCCTCGCAACCTCTGTGGTAGAGGTATCCAGCACGGCTTTCTTCAGGACGGTCAAAGTCTGGGGCTCCCTTCGCTGCCACCTCTTGGCATACAAATTGCTGTCCTCGAAGTACCTGACAATGGCTCCGGCTTGGCTCTGCCGGCGTTCGGCCACATGTTGGGAGGTACCGAGGACCAGGAATGGATCACACTGTAGCATGTCCAAAACAAAGGCAACACTTGCCTAGCTCTATTTAAGGCCATCCGCCTCTCTGTATTGTCTGATGCCACACAAGCAAACAGGCACCATGCTCCGATCTTGTAAGGCAAAAGAACAAAACGGCCGGAAAATCCAAGAGAACAACCCGTGACCAGTCTGTCGATGTTGGTTCTTGATTTGTCTGTGGGCCATCCGTCCTCATCATCCAATGATTGGCCAAACTGAGCTCAGGAATGGTGACGAGGAAGCTCTTTGTTGGACACGCAAGAAATACCTGTTTCAGTCCGGCCTGCGTAAAAATGCCTTAAACTCAATGTGGTCCCTACGTTCTGGTATGCGTAGTTTCTTTGTCGCAGCCTTGTCAGCTCTAATCAATCGCAGTGCTTCCTTCATCCCCAAACACTGGCAAATGAAGAATCCAAATTCCTTGGCGCCGCTGAGTGAAACCTTGGCGCCGCAATGTGAAGATCGCTTAGCTTTTTGCCAACCTGTCACAGCATGAGGTGCCACCTACGTGAGTCTCAGCAATTCAGACTCTGCAACTTGGACTTTGAAAGCTAAACAAAAAGTTACATGGCACTTGGCAGCTGCATGTCAGAAGAACCGGATTCCAGGGCAGGAGTCACAACATGAGAACGACTGGGGAACACAGTCATACCCTGGGATGCTCGATGGCGCGAAAAAGTACAATGCATTGTCCATGTCACAGGAATCCATGTTCGAACTTGTTCTGGGCTACTTGCAGCTGGGGCTGCCAGCATGCAAAAACTCAGGTCAAGCTGCCTGTACTCAACGTAGTGGTGCAACCAAGATTGAATGTAGACCGTGTCACGATGTTTGATCTCCATCGGCCTGCCCTGCTTAAAGAAGCCAAACAGCTGCCCCGCGGAGTTCTCATCCTTGTCTGCCAGAGTGAGCGGAGTGGTGTCGGTGGCTGCCTCCAAGTACTTCCCGGTCTCAATATGCTCGAAGAAGACGTCATCGCCGTCGTTGAAAACCGCATTGGTTCCGTCTTTCCGCCATGCTCGGAACACACAGGAACCCTTCAGTTCTTTGCTCTCCGCCAGAACACCTTCTCCGCCTTCGATGGCTGCTTCTGAGTACGTGAAAATCAAATAAATATGGTCACCACCCTTGATTTGCGGTGGGACAGCCGATGTGTCGTACCGCACAAACGGCAAAAAGTCGGCACCCTTCAGTCGAACAGGATCACCTGCAGGCATACGCCTATTTTGTCCAAATGCACAAGGAACACAAGCCGCGAGCAAGCGCTCCCACCTTCATGGACACGTCCAGCATGTTGCGAGACGGTAAAGCCTGCGCCACCACCGCTCACCTTCACCTCGTGCTGCTTGGCAGCATTTGGCGCGGTGGGATCTGCCGGGTCTTCATGCGGAACATACGGAGCCTCAGAACGGGATTCGATGGGACCGAATGGGACGTGCCCTGGGTGTGTCTTGTTTGGACCCTTTCCTTGGGCAGGATCGAAGGGAAGCCAAGGGAACACCACCCTTGTTCGGGTTCCCAGAAAACGACCCAAACCCAGTTGACTTGAAGCAGAACCTTCCACAGCCACGGCCCCTCAGCCCCTCACAGCGGTAGATGCTCCGCAGCCCATGGCGGGAAGGTTGCCAATCGGTTGCAAGCAACAATCCCCAGCTCTTGAGACCTGAAACTGATTCCACAAAAGGGTTTTCTTGGCGAGCACGTGCTCCAACAGTGGCATTGTTTGACTGACTTCCGGCATGAGCGCTGCGATCAGGCTTTTACTCATGGCGAAAACAGGCTCACACAACTGACACTGGGCTTGTGTCACCTATGGCAGTGGCACCTATGATACTCACGGCCCACATAGCGTGCAGGGCTCTATGTCGTGCAGGGCTCTGAGGCCAAACAGTTGAAAGTGCCAGGACCTTGCCTGCTCGCTTTGCATTGGATCGTCACCTCGTTGTCCTTGGCCGTTTCGTAGTGCGATTCACAATCGGCCTCAGCTTGTACTCCAGTTGCCCCGCTGTAGTGATCGCAGCGCCACTTGTCATTGCCGGAATCGGCCAGCGGAGAACCGGCGCACTTCGGGTAAGTCGTCTGGACGTCAGTTTTCAAGTCCACAACTATGGCCTCTGTGACCCAGAGCCCAAGTATCAAGAGACTTGGAATGCGCGCCATGGAAGTCACGGCGCGCTACTACGTTCTTCAGTATCCGAGCCACGGATCTGACGAAAGAAGTTGCTCTTTGTGTCCACGGTGCCTGCGTTGCATGTGGCCAAACGGCATGCAAGCGGTTGTCGGTTTAGCTATGATCTTCGGCCGCGTGTTTTTGCCAACGCTCGCATCCTTCCAGCTTCTGTAGCAAACAGTGAGAAATAGTGCTGCAAAGAATTGCATGACTACATGTACAGAGCTAGAACAAGCTGGACCTGCCTTGCCTTCTCACCAAGTTCGCATCATCCAAGGCGTGATCAGCATGTCTTCCTTGGCTGAGGTGTCATGTCAACTCGCGGCTCGAGCTCCAAGGCTAAGGACGCCTGTGTGTGTGTGTGTGTTCAGGCAAATGGTGTGTGCTTCTGTAAGTGTGCACGTGTGCCTGTGCCCGGTGCCTACATGCCGACACACGTGAGTGTAGACATGAGTTGCACGTACCCAAAAACACCTGGGGTTGTGAGGCATCTTGGAAACTGGTCAGAATGGCCCAAGCAACTGAACTCCTGATTTGATGTGCCTAGCCCATGTTCTCATCGTTTGCAATGAGCTTTTTTGAAAGCTGGAGCCTGAATCTTGGATCTAGGCGCCGAATGATCATGCAGCTCGGCTCCACCTCCGCCGGGCTCCACCTCCGCCGGGCTTCACCTCCGCTGGGCTGGGCCCGCCAGGAGCCCTCGCTAAGACCTGCAGACTCGGAAAAGCAAACGGAGAGCACATCTCGCAGCACATGCGTAGTCGCCGAAGAGAAGCTGCTACCATTTTGCAGACTGGAAGCCAACATTTGACTCGATGCTGGGAGGGATTGGCCCCATCCAATTGCGACTTGAGGCTTCCGGAAATTGAAAGCTTCCATATGCGTCAGTTCGGCCATGCTTCAATTCAGTCATATCACAGCACTGATCGACACCAGCCTTTCCCACAAGAAATAGCCTGAGCTGGTGTAATCGTTGGCCAGTCGGCTTGCAACTCCCCACAAGTATCATCCCTGCGATGCTGGGAAGGGCGACGATCGCCTGGCTCCTCTGCAGTTGCTTGTTGCACATCGGGAGCACCGAGGTGAAATGAATACAATGTACCCGGATGGCTTTGAAGCCTGGCGGTGCAAACCTGCGACTCCAAATCCCAAAACTCTGCGTTGCCGCAACGCGCAACAAATGCTGCACAACCTGTGGAGAAAGATGCGATTGCTTCTCGAATGACTCCGTCTTGTGTGCGCAGAATAGCGTGCGGCCTCATTTCACTCTCTATCACCTCCAAGTCCCAAACTCGAGCCGCATCGTCTGTTGACGTGCTGACTGCCCGTTGATTTGCCCAGTCCACAATAGCGGTCCGAACTGAACCCGGATGAGGCAGGATTCCTTCGCATGTCTGCAGCCGCACATTCCAAATCCGCATGGTGGCGTCGCAAGAACCGCTCACAGCCATACCTTGCTTCCAGTCCACCGACAGCGTGGAGATTTGGTCCGTATGCGCGGTGAGCTGTCCGGCCACAACACCCACAGGATCTGCAGTCACCTTCCAAGCATATATGTTGCCGCACGAAGAGCCAGTCAATGCTGAAACTCCATCGGACTGGGACGCTGCGTCATGCGCAACCACACGTGTCCGATAGGCATGTTTCGTGCCAAGCTGTCTTACTTTCCAGCCAGAATTGCCTGCATCTGCATTGGCCGCCCGTCCACCTTTTTTCGAGCGAAGGCTCTCAGTTGCCTGTAGTGATGACCATGGCACTTCCCACAACAAAACATCCTGGTCCAGGGAGATGGTTGCTGCCTTGATGCACCGGCGATCAGAAGCTCCCCAGTCTACTGAAGCCCATACCACTTCTTCGCGGTGCCCCGGCAACGTTCTGGACACATTGAGCCGTCCAGACTGGCTCTCCAGGTTTACCTCAGCACGCGTCACAAGACATTTGCAATCTTGCGTGACATGCCAACGGGACTTGCCACGTCTGCACATTCAGTGAATAGAGACTCCGCAAAAGGATTCCTGAGGCATGCCCCACTCAGGGAGTTGTGAACCCTTCAGATGGCATGGACAACGACCACTGTAGAGGGTTGCTGCAACTGCTGAGCGTGCTTCGACTCTGCAATCGCAAGCACTCTCTCTAGTCTCTTGACAAAGATGCTCTGAGAAGGTAATGGTGTACATGTGTTTGCGCACTCCTAAGCAGTTCCGGGTTTCATGCACACACGCATGCCGAGTTCAAATGTATTTTGCAAGTGAGAGATACTAGAAAGCGTTCGCTGACTAAACAATATGTTGAGAATTTGAACAATCACGTTCACTCACCCAGTGGTAGGTTTGCCTCAAGCAAAACTTCATTTGCCCGTTTCGAAGGTAGGTCATGCCATACCTCAAGTATTTAAGAATGTGCTGAGTCATGTCACATATACCTCCGTTGCCATCTTTGCCCGTGCTTTGGCCGCGAATCTTGTCTGGCGGCTACGTGCAAAACGCCGTCCGGAGAAGCGGACAACGCCAATGGCCCATGCTCTCCGGCAGCGTAGCGCAGCGCCTGCGGGCTTCCGCCCACATCACGGCCGCTGACGGCCACGGGACCGGCCAGCTGTCTCAAGTCCCAGAGCTCCAAGAAGGATTGGCGTGTACAAATCAGGGCGCGCTTGGCATCGAAGTCCGCCAGTGCCGCCTTTGCCCACACGTGGCTTCCCTGGCTTTGACACACTTCATCCAAGGACTTCTCCCTACTGACATCCCAAATCTTGATGGCAGCAGGGCTGGACTGGATGACCAGAGCCAGAGTTTGGCCTGGCATCGCCGCATCTTGGAGCCTTCTTGTCCCTCTTAAGCCATGAGTCTGCGATGCTTGCAATCTTAATGGTACCCCTTGACTGGTGGTTCTAAAGGCAAACCGGAAGGAAAACTACTATGTTGGGGTCCCCCTGGAGGGAAAAAAAAACACCCATCTGTGTTAACACCACTGATGCGATTTTGAACGACGCGCGCGACTCTTCTCTCTAGAAGCTAGCAAGGCAAGTCATATGTACAGGTGAAGCCACTCGCCAGCGCTCACGTGCTACGTTGCTGCATGAAAGAAGAGTCGCAGGCTCGCAACCGGGGCTGGCCGTTTGCTTCGCCGAGCCACCATTGCTGAAAGGCATATGACCAGCACTTTGCCCATGTTGACCTTGTAGTGGCTGTTGAGCTCAATGACATCATCACCTTGCAAAGTGCAGCTCTTTGCTTTCAGCGTAGTGCAAACAGCCCGGCCTGCTTATGTGCAAACAGTAAAGGCGATTGTTGGTGGCAGTTGAACACGTGCCAGCACAGTGGCAAAAGCCTCGGGAAAAGACTTCCTGTGGTCGAGACGGACATGGCACATCAACAGCACTTCTGATGGCTCCGAAACTTGGGCTGGCACACTCCCGAATCGCTCCTGGCGGAACGACCTGCGCATTCCAACAAGAAAACTGCCCCCAAGGACGGCAAACTTCACGATTGGTTTAGCTTTGCTGAAGGCAGCAAATGCCTGCAACCGCAACTGCCATAACCATCTGTTTGTTGCATGCATGTCTGATTTGTGTGTTCTTGGATTAAGAAACCGGGAGAAACAAGACCGCAAATCAAGGTCAGACTCGGAAACCCTTAAAGTGGGTTGGATGTGGCAAATCCAGCACAAATGGGTCGAGAATCAAGAATCACCACAGCAAAAAAATGAAGTGCACAGTTCAGGTAGTGAACACCACGAGTCCTAAACCACCCCTAAAGCAGCAGCCGATCGACCGAGCCTGGGCAAACCCTAAACTTATGCGCCAGACCAAAACCAGGCATGAACCCAGGGTAGCTGTGATAAACCTTGTAAAGACCAATGTGTGGTATGACAACAGTTCACGCGCGCGCGCACTGAGTGCCCTAAGTACCCTGCTGCACGCCCAACTCCATGATCATCTTGCACCTGGACACAGCTGCTCAGAGCGGAGACGTGTTGGCGACGACGAGCCCCGGACTGTGAAAGCGGCAGTTCCCAGGTTCATGAAAGTGTAGGTGAGGAGGTGTGTGCTGTAGTCTGCTTGCCTGCGAGAAGTCTTTTGAGCAAAGTCATGGTCAATCACTGAATCCACTCATCACAGTTGTGATTGCTGAAGCATTCTGACGAGGCTCTTGTAGAACGCACACTTGGACAGCTTCACCGTATTTTCGGAATGGTCTGAGTTGACCATGAACACCTGACAACTCAGTGCCTCATGCACTGCTGGAACAGCAACTTGGATCGTGCTGCCTGCGGACAGAATAGACCAGTAGCGCTGCAGGTTGTTGCTGAGGACCTCACAAGCAAATGCTTGCACCGAAAAAAAGATTCAAAAAAACAGAGACTTGAGACACATGTACTTGGCCGCAAACATGTCCAGCGTCAGAGATGTTGCTGCCCCAGCCGTAAAGGCAACTTGAAGCGCGGCATCGCCCGCAGAAGCAACCTCTGTGGAACGAGATCAAGGCGAATGTACAGAGGTCGGAGGCAAGGACTTGACAGCTGGTCGCATCCGCCGTGAGACTACACCTGGCACATGGAAAAAATGCGTCCAAGTTGTTTTTTCATGCCCTGCGCACGTGGTGCTGCTGATCTTGAAAGCTCTCTGCGCAGAGCTAGGCCTCAGAGTTGACAAAACAAGCTGGAGATGCAACTGTAGCATTTTACCTGGGTTCGCTAACCCCCCACCCCCCGATGGTATTGCCCCGCCCGACCGCGCAACCTGGCATAGCCCGCCCCTAACATCCTTTTCGCGCACCGGCATCCCCGGTTGGACGAGCGAAAGAAATCCAAACCCGGCCTCTAAACTCTATGCAACCGTCAACCAACCCTGCACCAACCCTCAACCAACCCACCCTTAATCAGCCCTTCAGCAGCCCTCGAACCTGAAACATGTATGTTTCGAAGTGTCTTCAACATGGCGGCAGCCTTGCTGTACAAAACTAGCATATTTATTGTAGCCTTGGGTAGAATGTGCAATGCGATCTTTAGAAACGATCTGGAAGTGTTGGCATGCTTCACTGCGGGTGTTTTTTGGTTGTTGCTTTTTTTCCCATGGCTACAAGAGTGTACCTGCATGTTTCACATCATTGGCCAAGAGAAGTCACTGCCAAATGCCAAGGCTTCGGCAGCAAGAGGCTGGCAATGACCAAAAGCTGCCTGAAACCAAAATTGCATCCATCTCTCTCGCAAGTGATGGTTGGCTGGCCTACACGAGTGTGTGTGTCTGTGTGTGCGTGTGCCATGTACAGCTAACAGCCTGGTCCAGTCTGAGCAGCAGACTTTTGTCTGACTGAAAGACATAGGACTGGCCAGCCCATCATCCAATTGAGCACATGAAGCTACAGCTGCGCAGGACGGCATCACCTGGAATCCTTCGTACTGATGCCTGCACTGACAGCCACTGTGCAGAAATGCAAGCCGCCCCTTTTTCCGAAGGGGTCACTATCTACACATGCAAATCCGCTTTCCTACTTTAGCAGCAAACAATTTCGATTCTCTCCGCATACATGTTCCTGCTCGCAAACACGCAAAACCAAGGCAAGCAAGAGACCCTATTGCAACTAAACGCTGTCGCAACTTTTACGACTTCAGGCCAATAAGTTTGCCTTCAATTGCATGATGCGTGTTCTGGCCAAGCATCCTGAAAGCCCAACAGATTCCGAACAGGAACATGAACATGAACTGTAGGAAATTCAAGCGATTCAAGAAGCATTGCCTGAAATCGCTCTTTGCCATATCGGTGACATAGGTGCAACCAAAAAACAATGTCTGACAAATTCGCACGCTGCATTTTGAATAGCGCAACGTGCACTATCTCGAAGTTGCCCTGTCAGCTTTCTGGCACATCTACTTATGCCAAAGCTATGTTTTTATTGGGTGTCTCTTTCTTTAGGGGACCCCCAAAATGGCTGTGTTCCCTTTGGTGTCCTTTTGTTTGAAGCATTCGCTCCACAAAGCTTGTCTTCTGCGTTGCCCATACAGGCGAGCGCTGCGCAGTGCAGCATCGCTCGGCTGTTTACCTTGGCGAGCAAGCAACAATCACCAATTCCTCAGGCTTCTGTGACCACTCGCAAAGAAGCACGATCAACACAACAAGAAGCAAGTTTGGATTGGAGACGGCGCGTAAAAAGTTGCTAAGGGCATTGCTCGATCTTTGCTGCGGTTTAGTGTGTTTGACTTCTTGTTGTAAACGTCTCATGACCCATCTACATGGGAAATGCGCCCACACGCACACAATAGATCAAGGCACAACGATCTTTTGATCGTGTTGAAGAAGTCCAAGAGGGGTCTGATTTCTCGCCGTTTGTCTGGCTTCTCCTGCGCATGCAAACAACACCAAAGCCATCCATCCAAAAAACTGTCCTGAAGGATGGGGGTAGTCAGCTTCTCTTCAAGAAGCAAGAAGTTGGATTTTGCCTTCGATCCGGCCACATCACATGTGCATTCAACTAAGAGAGCTTTCTCAGAATGCCAGTTGTCTGCGTTCAAGCACACTCTCGGCTTGTGGCATCCGGGCTTGGAAAGAAGTATTCCCACTCTGTCCTTGGCATCGCTGCTCTTGATATGGCAGCCACACATCCAAGCAAAACTCTGGGTGAAGAAAGCCATAAGGCCACAACTGGAAATCCTCGTTGTCAGCCATAGCCTGACAATCCCACAACCGGCATCAAAAGTCTAGCCTCGTTAAATCTGTGAAATACATCATGCAAGTACTTTGCTCCATCTGCATTCCGTCGCCAACGCTAGGGTGCCAACCGACAACCCATCTGCCAGGCTGTGTTTCAGCTCCTCAGGAAACCTGGTTGGATGTCGTGCCGGGCTTGGTACAGTGAAATTATGTTGACTGGAAGCCACTCCAAGGTCGGCACTGATCTGCAAAGCGCAGGTAATGGCCAACGGCCAGTTCCACCAGTTGGACATCCCTGCTTCTTGCCAGAAGTTCTGAATTGTTCAGTGCCTGTGCATTGGGCATCATTCTGCCTTCAAACGCTCCGGTCATGTTCTGAAAACATTCATGCAAGTGAGAAAGCAAGAAAGCAAGAAGGCAAAGCAATCCAAAGCAAACGCAAGCAAAGCACAAGCAAAGAAAAACAACAACAAAGCAAGCAAGCAAGATTTCAACTGGTGCTGAGGTTATCAAGCCCTGCCTCTGCATGTCGCATCAAAGAGCCGAAGTAGTACCTGCTAGACACTTGTCAAACATCAAGCACGTCTTCAAGACAAGGAGAAGCATAATCAACACAAACGTTGTTTTTCCGCATCACACACATCGCTCCACTGCTCCTCTAATACTGCTTCATTGCAGCAGAGTCCCAAAGCAGAATAGAAAGGTCATAGTTGAAACAACGTGTTCAAGACCGGACTGAAGTCGAAGCCCCTCCGATTTACACTGTAAAAGGTCGGAGCACAAAATCACTGTCTCCTGAAGTCTGGCGTCACCCGGGCTCTCCATCGAAAAGCAAGACTGAAGAATGTATGCCTTAATCCACACTACTGAAGCCATTGCATGCCAACTTCACGATCGCCGGGTAGTAAGTGCCGGGCACAATGCTCAATAAGCAAGGGTATGTCCATCAGCTGCAATGTTTCCACCTTGGCATGATCAAAAAACAACAATTATCATGCCAACAGCCTCTGCTCTGTTAGCCATTTTGCAGATGCAGTCTTCAGTCTTGGCCCAACACATGAACGAACGCCTTTCGCAACAGCGTTCCAAGACACTCCTCAAAAGGACTCCCATGGCAACTCAAGCAATCAATCGGGATGCAACTACAAGCAGTATGGCACAAGCCAATTTGAAGCTCTAGCACACAGGTAAACAACCTGCCCATCCTCGAACTGGACACATTTCTGTTCCAGAGTCGATTCCGTAGATTCATAGGCCTGGCGTACCAGGATTTTTTTAGGCCAAAACTGAGCACTGCGCACCTTGGTGGCTTCGTCCATCGTTGCCTGCCTTTCGGCGGCATTGTACTGCCACTTCTTGTAGTCGTACATCATCCTGTCGAGCAAAAACCGCCATCAGGGCAGCCGCGGAAGCAAGCGCAGTGCACCTTGCGCGTCCCATTTTCCCAAATCCTGGGGCCTGAGGCACAAGTTCACCTTGGCCTCCTCCACCAATATTCGAATTGCATTTTCATGGGCCTCCTGTACACAGACAAGCTGAAGGCGCAAAATCTAAAGAGCTTTGTATCCAGCCTGATCCCACAATGTGCCGCTTGAGTCTCGATCCCGGCCTTGAGTTTCTAGGACCTTGCATCCAACAAACGCGAACTCCACAGACCAGACAGCGATACAAAATCTGAGGCCAAATCCTTTGGGTTCGCCGGCATTCTCCCCTCCAGCTGCACCTCGAGAAGCGAAACATATTTTGGCACTCATGCCAAAACTTGGCAAAAGACCAAGCGAGAGAGCTGCTTCAGCGAGTCCACCAAAGAGATCCACCTCGACTCTGTTCGTGTTTGAAAGTGGGCTCGGACAAGGGCTGTTGCAGTTCCTCGAGTTGTTGCCCAAATCATGGTGGAATCCCTCATCCCTTTCACCCCGTGAACACACCGCCACCCCCGCCCCCACGAAGCCAACCCTACCCTAAACGCACATCCTAAAACCAACCCTGAACCAACTCTAAGCCAACCCTGAACCACCCAAAAAACCCACCGTAAACCAACCCTAAACCAACCCTAAACCAACCCCAACTAACCCCAAACCAACCCAAACCACACCTAAACCTTAAACCAACCCCAAACCACACTCCAACCACCCGCCCTACCCCACCCCCACCGCCACAGGGGGGGAAAAATAGTAAAAGGAGAATTCAAAGAATTATTCTTTCTACTATTTTTTCTCCAACAGCAACACAACAAACAGAAAACAAAATCCAGAACAACAAGCAAACAAAATAAATAATCACAACCAGCAACAAAAATATTTAATCACAGCATGCAACATTAAATAATTCAAACAAGCATACCAACAAAACAGCAACACTCTAAATCATCAAAGAACCCAAACTCAAAAACACACATCAACAAAAATCAAAGCAACATACCAACAAAAAATATCACAAGAGTATCAAACAAAACAAAAACAAACAGCCAAAGCACGAAAAAATTGAAGAAGCATGCCAAGTCTAAACAACGCACTTTGAAAGAGATAAGCAAATTAGGAAAATATAATAATTCAATCTTTACAAACGATAAATATATTACAATTATAACATATAATATTTTACATGTGATAATCATAGTATGATTATAATTTCAGTACAGGATAATAATTTAATTGATTTGTCTTACTTCTTTCATACATCATTTTAAAAATAATATTAATATCTCTCAATGTATTTTGAACATTAAAACTTTTACTTTCAATAAATAATTTGATATTTTCTTTAACATCTTCTCCTTTCTCTTGACTATAACACAACATCCTTAATATATCATCAATCATACCATATTTGTTCTTAGGGATTTTAAGAAACTGTTTAATATAATCGTAAGGTGGTATTTTATTTACAGTTAGAAATATTAAAATCTCATCTTCTACATTTCTATTATGTCTCCCTTTTATTCTCAACAGACATTTGATTAAAACTTGATTATCTCTCCATTCCTGACAAATTTTACATTCATCTTCTTCATCCATTGAATAATTAATAATATTATTCAATATTTTATTAGGTAAATTTAATTTATACAATTCCATATTTTCTTTTTTGAAGTGACAACAATCATAGCATTTTTTATTGATATAATTATTGATTTTATCACCGTTCATTTTCCTCTTATTATATTAAGGCACTATTTCTTTAAGTCATTTTTAAGGCATTAATAAAAATTAAGAAACTAACCATAAGTATAGTATAATTATAGCATATAATATTTTACATGTTATAATTATATTTCAATTAAGAATTAAGGATTTAAGATAACAGTCAGGCAATATGTCTTCAAATATGTAATCTACATATTTATCAATATCACCAATGTCTATATATTTGATATTGTCTTTTCCTATTATTGAATAAATATATTCCCAAAAGAATAAATACAGCAATAGACATACTTTATATTTAGTGTTGTAGTAATACCATACATGATATTTAGTTATTCTAAATTCATTCAAGACCTTGTTTATTTTATCTTTGCTTCATAAATGCCAATCAATCTCTTCAAACAAATCACGAAATTCTTTAGCAAATGATTTATATGGTTTAATGCTTAGTTCTCCTCCAAACCTTTTAATCAAATCTTTATTATTAAAAAACTCATCAATTTCTTTTTCAAATGACTTTCTTACAATTTTATGACAAAAATATACAGGAAATCGTTTTTGATATTTCATAAAGAATTTCAATTTTAATTGAAACTTTGTATATCCCTTATCCTTATATTCTTCAACAAACAACTTTTCAAGGTCTCTTGTTATACAGCATTGATTACAATATACATCATATTCACTTATTTTATTACACAGATTAGCAGGTAATAAGTTATACAATGTAAAATTAATATCATTCTTTTTATTATTACAACATTCACACTTACTGTAATTAAACAGTGTCATTTTTCCTCTTAATATATTAAGTCAATATTTCTTTAAGTCGTTTTCAAATAATTTATTTTATAATGGCCGTAAGCAAGTGAGTTTACACTATCTATCCAATATTTTTTGTTTTCATAACTACTAAGAGCAATTTTTTTAGTTGCTATACTAAAAATTCTGTGGTTTTTACTTCTAATACTATTAAATGACTTATGTATAACCTTATTAGTTTTTAAAACCGTCTCAAACTCTTCATATTTCATTTGACGTCTTACTGTGCCTTTTGCTATGCCCTTACATTTCTTATATTTTTTATCATCACCATAAACTGAGTAAGCATAGCATTTAGGACGAAGAGCTATAAACCCTGTTATTAGTTTACTTTTTAATTCATCCTTAAATTTACCTAATACTTTCTTGTTATTATCATCATAACATTTATGTTCCTTAGGGTAATCTGAAAAATCTAATTCTTTTTTATTTGTATTAAGGTCTTCATAAATGTCATTGGTTTTAGCATGAAATACAAAACTATCAGTATCAGTATATACCATTTTAATATTATCTCCATATTTAGGCTTCATAACGTCATAATAAAATTTATACATGTGTTGCTTACTCAAATCTAAAATACTCATCCCAATAAATATAGGTTTGTCTAGTTTCAACTTTGTTTTTTGCTTTTCAACTCCAACCAAATTTTCATTAATGATATGACTATGTTTGAAGTTAGGATTACTTACACACTTCATATATCTAGTTTCATCACTCACAACCTCAAAGTCTAAATGTTTTCGCTTATCCTCCATTGTTTTTCCAAATATGGCATTGTTCATCAATTTGTAAACATCTTTCTCAAAATCATTTCTAGCATGCTTCAAATAAAATTGTAAGGTTCTTATATGGATTACATATTTTTCTTTATCATTTAAATTCAATACTAATTTATTTGTTTTCTCATCCGTAGGTTTTTTATGATTTAAAAATTCATAAATTTCAATTTGTTTATCTGACAGCATGTCGGCTTTAACATTCATAACCTCAGGTGCCATTGGATAGTCATTGTGTAAATCGTGTAATTCTTTAGGATATTCTAAATCCACTTCTAGAATATATCCAATATTATTATTTTTGTAATTAATAATGTCTTCTTCTTTTAATGTATCATCCCATTTTAGATTTTTATATGGCAGTTTTTGTATCATGCTTAACCCGTACAAATTATTAGCATCAAAATAGTTAATATAACTACTTTCTTTGTTTTTATCATATTCTTCTCCCATGTATTTATTATTTGCTTCAACTTTTTTAGTAGAAACCATACACATCCCGCCTCTAAGTCCCGCTTCTATCATTTCATACATTTCTTGGTCATATTAAATCAATCTCTACACCAGTCATTTTAAGCATAGCATCAAAAGCAAAGTTAGGCAATGTATAATAATAAGCAGGGTCCAATCCATAATATTTCATACATACATCTCTAAAATTTTCGAAAATGTCAGTCAATAATAATACATCAGTTTTCAAATATAAATCATGGTATTCACCCATATTCTTAATGTCAAAATGCTTCCATATAATTTTTGCCCTTTCATAGTCGTTAACACTTATACCTTCTTCACTCAACTGACTATAAAAATCATCCTTACTCGGTAATTGCTCATCATCAAATTTATCAAATGAATTCATGTAGTCATAAGGATAAACGCCTTTATCAGTTAATAAATCTAGACATTTCTCACTCTTAATCACATCATTTTTACTACTGAACCTAAAATTATCTTTCCAGTTTTCACGCAATAACCATTTACTTTTATCTTCTTCATCTGTATTATCATACTTACTCATTGAAACTAACTTATCTAATGAAGCAGTTAAAAACCCAAAAGTGTCTTTAACACTCAAACTTTCAAAACTGATATTAATAAATTTTTCACTGTTCTGAGCGATGACACCTATTTTATTGTTGTTACTTAATTTATCCGCATTTTGAATAATTAAATGACCATCATAATTTTTCATGTTATGAAAAGAATACTGGAATTTTAAAATATCTATTACAAAAATTAAGATTGCAAACATTATGAGCACAACCTCTATACTTACCTGTAAAATGACAATGGTCTCTAACTTTTCTATATTTCTCTGCTTCCTTGGCATTCTTATAGTTCATTCTAAACTTATCCCCACAAATAAACCAGTTTTTAGCATTTTTAAAATCTTCTTTGTCTTCGTCAGTCATGTCTATTTTTTCGTTTTCTCCCATCTTCTCCTTTACTTCTGCCCTAATGTCATTAAGTTTTTGACAAAACACATCAACAGCATCTTTACCGCGATACATAAATTCATAATTTGTATTATCAACAGCATTAACCATATTAAGCATAAAACCACATGGCTTATGCTCTTGATAAGAAAAAGTGTTTTTATCTTCATCTTCATCAGGTTTTTTCAGTTCCTCTGTCAAACATTCAAAATCAGCATATACAACAAAAGGACACCTTAACTTTTTGAAATGATGCTTAAAACTAACTTTCTCATAAGGCTTAGGCATTACTATTTGTTGACCATCAACTTCCATGCATCCACTATCATAATGTTTATTTAATAATTCTTCATTTCTAAATCCATGATTACAATATTTACAAAAATAGGACTTACCATTATGATTGCTTTTTTGATTATTAATAAGTCTGCTCAAACTTTTTATATACACATAATGACTGCAATCCGCATCATCAACTCTTAACAAATCAAAATGAAAAGAAGCATCTTTATTTTTCAATTTTCTACTAATAACAATTTGTTCATTATCATCAATTTCATAAACATTAATGGATATTGATTTATTATTTTCTTCAAATATATCTATATCATTATTATTAGCAGGAAAACTC